GGGGCCATACCTGTAGCTGTACCGTGTACCACGTGAAAGTGGAGAACAGAACTGCTGGGAGAGTCAGGGAGAGGGAGACACAGAAGTGGCTATTGTGAACACCGGAGAACACCACCCAGAGCAGAGAGGAAGGGTGGAGGACAGCAGAGGCTTCACAAGTAGAAATCAGCAGGTCTTGCTACCCATTTCCTGCTTCAAAATGTCAGAGGGATTTCAGAGCAGTCTCCAGCCTTGTCCCACTTCTCTCTCTCCCAGAAATGTTTTGTTTGGCTGTGTAAAAACTAGCCTTAATTATAATGTAGTATGCTATTAAAATTTCTTTAGATGAACGTTGTTCTGTATTCCATATGATTATAATGCTGACCTCTATTTACAAACACTCCAGCTCCCTGATTGACTAACTGTGTGGCGTAGGCATTCATTACAACTGCACGTCCCAGGCTCTGGCTCATCTCAGCCTCAGAAGAGCAGGCACTTTAACTGGTCCATCCGTTGGCACTTGATAAGTGTGAGTAAAATGAAGACGTGTATTACTCAGACACCATGATGAGACCTGCCCTCAACAATACGAGGACATCCTCTTCTTTACACCATCGCTGTACTCATGGTCCCCAGCCCTTCCCAAGTTGCCCATATTCCCAAAGTTTATTTATTATTGGTATTTAAAAAATTCTGATGTGTAAGGCCCAGCGTGTTACTGCCAACCAGAGTGGTTTTCTTTTTATGGTGACTGGATTTCTGTAGAAGGTGATATAGTGCACCCTTTAGCAGCATGGCCTTTACTGGTCCTACAACTTACTGTCAAATTCAGATTCTGCCAACTTCCACGTGTGTGACTTGCCCAAGTAAATAAATCTCTCTGAGCCTTTGCCCTCACATATAACACGAGGATGAGGATGATATTAATAATAATAATAATAATAATTTTGAGGATTAACTCTTTAATGTCTAATCTTAATAGAAGATACCTTCATTCTCATCTCTTTTGTATTCAGTATGTTCTAATATCTTCTTTTGATTAAAATATATTGTGTTAATTGTTCAGGGCTACTACAACAGAAATACCACATGGATGCACTTTCATTTTACTAACAACAAGCAAATTTGTTCTCGCAGAGGTTAGAAGTGTGCATTCAGAGCCCTGACGTGAGGAGAAGGCTTTCTCTGTGTGTGAGCTCTGGAAGAAAGAAGGCCCTTGTCTCTCTTCATGTATCTTGGATCAGTCTTTCCCTGGGAGCAGATTCTCAGAGCAGGGATCCTGAGGTCAATGGACACTCTCTGCTCCAGACTCTTTATTCGTGGTGGTAATCAGGCCCCTTTTCCTCCAGTCCGCTCACTCTTGGACATCAGGTCCATCTTGAAGGTAGAGAGGTATTGCAGGCCGCACTCCAGAGACACTCCTTACAAGGGATCAAGGCTGTACCCTGCCTGTGGGTGTTGCATTCCACCTTAATCCTGCCTCATATTTAGGATAAAGAACATAGCCTAATGATCACTGACAAAACTTAATCCTGCCTGCGTATTTGCCATGCATTGCAAATGGAGGATAATTACACTGGATCATGTCATGGAAGCTGGTTATAGCCATTACTTAATCAACACAATTACTGCTAAGCCACGAAGAATCATGGCCTAGCCAGGGTTGGCACATAATTGGGGCCATTTACTTAATTTAGAGAAATTCATTTTTTAAACATTTATTTTACATAAAAGAAGTATATTTTTTCAAAGTCAGATGCTCTTTAGTCCTCCCAGTCAGAGCCTTGCTTTCCAGTACCCTACAAGAGGGCATGTGCCGTAGATTTACCTGATCACCTCGTCTTGGTTACTTAGCTACTGCTCCCATGAGCATTGAGGGTAGATCCAAGCAAGACAGAATTTGTGACTACTTCAAACTTTGCTGCATTTATCATGGTGTTACTGTTGGTCCACTTGTGAGAAGTTTGCTCTTCTTTACACCGAGTCTTCAGTATTACGTACTGAGTGTGATACTTCAGTAATACATACATTCTTGATCTTCATCAGCGAGGGTCTGGGTGACTGCGTGTTTGATACTTTACCATTTAATCCACTGCAAAAAGTACTGCTGTGCCCTCCAGGTGGCAGTACTTTGCAGGGCTGAGGCAGTGTGTTCCAGGAGTCTGCATATGCTCCCAACCAGTGTCCCAGATGTGGTGCTGTTTCTCCAAAAGCCCGAGTTCACTGGTCTAGGGA